GAGATAGTCTGCCGTTTATTTACTCGTACGCCATCGAATTTGACAGTCTCATCCTTGAAACCTAGGATGCAGGATCAACTTCAAAATTATTCTCGCGACATGACCATTGCTATTGTTGCTCAGGACGAACGTCGCAAAACGGAAATCGCGCGGGTTCGGGAACGTTATCAACGAATGTTATCGAAAAAAAAACAAGAAGTACGAATTTCTCAGTGTTAGCATATTTTTCTGTATATGCCGATCTTAATGATCCTTAAAATTTGAAGGCCGAGATTCGTCTCCTGGAAAAAAGAGAGTCCGAAAGAATTGTGAATATGCAAAGAATGGATAAGAAAAATGAGTGGCGCAGAAGCGTGGAGGTATTAATTATGTGAACTTAATACTATAATCAATAATGATAATGATAATACTATTATGTAAAATCATTGCACAGCAATATCTCCTTGAAAAAGAACGTGACAGGAGTTCCGAAATACCCATTAAGCTTAAAAAATCTAGATTAGAGACCCCTTCTCTTGAGGTGAAAAATGCCAAAATACGCAAAGAGTCTCCAACAGAGATCGCCATACCCCCATTGGTGAAGAAACCGAAGGAACTTCCGAACCTAACGAACCCAGAAGATAATTTAAAATTTAATTTTCTTGGTTCTCCCGTTTTTAATATGGAAAGTGTACTTGGCACTCATCGAAGCGACATTGGGAGTTCTGCATTTTCTAGTTCAAGTGATAGTGATTCGACCATTGTTTTGATAGAGAGATTACTGCAGATTAAATCATCAGTAACTTCTCATGCACACAAAGAATATATTCTTCCACTGGGGGCAATCGCGGAACTTGTAATTCGACGAACGTTGCTTTGTCACTGTCGACTGATCAATGCATCAATTCTGTCTTTATTTTTCCATGACCTTGATCTTCGTGCGCACTTGAACGTTTTAAGAGACTTCATGCTTATGGGAAATGGGTCGTTTGTTTCTGGACTGACGGATGCGCTGTTTAGTGATAACGCCGACCGTGGCGAAGGTCTGCATCATAACATTGGAATGGGTGTTGGGATTCGATTAAACAGTCGTCAAACTTGGCCGCCTGTTGGTGTTGAGTGGAAAATGGCCTTGAGCGCGGTGATAGTTGAGGCGATCTCATCAGAAAAAGGAAGTCAGGAAAACGAGGATGCCTCATCACCGGTTGACGCTTGGAAAAATGTGAAAGATTTGGATAATATGCTCATGTTTGGAATTCGTAGCGGAGATGCTAGCGAGTTGAGAGAAAGCAAGGATCCAAATTGTAAGTAAATTTAAATTTGCATTACTTCATCACCCGACGATCTATCAGGGTTAGATTTATTGGTTGATCATTTAACTATTTTGGAAGCATTAGGAGCACTGGATTTCCTTTATCTTGAATACAAGGCTCCTTATCCAATTAATGTGATAATAACACCTAACGTAATTCAGAAATACAATATCCTTTTCACATTTCTTCTACGCGTACTTCGACTAAGCATAGTGATCCGCCATATATATCGTCTCTCGCACGACAGGCACAATCCTGATGAAGATGATGGGGAAACTGCAGAAAACATGAATCTCATACATAGATTCCAATTTGACGCACAACAATTTGTCTTTGCACTTCATGGATATATATTTGACGTGGCGATTTCATCGACATGGAAGCATTTTATGAGACGACTGAATAGAATTGCAAAAGAATCCGAGTTCGAGTTGTCACGGGAACATCTATGGGGTCGGGACAGCGATAGTGACTCTACGAGTTACGATGGGAAATCGGACGCAAAATTTGATGAGTTTGACGATGAACCTGAAGATGACGCTGTTGAAGGAGACGTCAAAGATCTTGAATCTTTGCGAGCATATCATGAACATGTCTTGGATAGAATGTTTTGTCAATGTCTACTCAAAAAGAAACAGAAGCCTCTCGCCAAGTTTCTCGATGAAATTCTGAAGGTAATACTCGATTTCGCAAGGCTGTTACAATTACGACGTTATCGTCAGTATAATTCAGAACAACAAAGAGAATACTGGAATGCAATTAAAATTTTGTACATAAATTTTCGAAAATATACTGCGGTATTAGTAAACTTACTCATGGAGTTGGAAGAGAAGGGAGGCGGTAGGTTGGGATTGGGGATTAAACGAAATGCTACTGGTCCTACGAACGGACAATCCTATCACGACAAAATAGATAATAAATCGGGTGTAGGGGGATTCTTGCAAGAGTTATTATTAAGATTAGATTTCAATGGACATTACGCTAATGTTTATGCTAACGAAATAAACAAGAAACCGAAATGAGAATAAAGTTGATGGTTTATTACAAAGGTGTTGTCATTTATTGACGACTTTCAATACTTCAAAAGACTTCAAGGGAATTTAAAAATTATATGCGTTATTATTATGCAAGTATATTGGTATATACAGTATGCCGGTAAAGAAATTAGTAAATGTTAAATGTTTTATGAGACAAAGTTTTAAATCAAAAAGAATAAAAATTTATTGATTAATCATTTATACTGCATAATAGTTAAAAATGTTTCAATTATAAAAAATTTTATTTTTAAAACCTAATTTAATATACAATATTATTATTTTTTTTTTTTTTAACCCACAATTATGCCATGATGGTTTGTCTTTGAGAAATCAAAACAAAATTTACAATAGTTTACAGACTTTCACAAAATGACTAACTTGTCTTCATACATAAGTACTCTAAGTCAGATCTTGGGGACAATATTATATTCTTCCAATAGATTGGTAATGACCTCTATCTATCAGGATCATTGCCAACAGTTTGTCACTATTGATTGACTCAAAAACCAATAAGTTGCTAAGTTAAAAAGGGAAAGGGAAAAATCAATTTGAGTGAAGGAGACAATTCAAGGCTTACCAAAAAATCCAAAAATAAAAACAATCTCTTTTCAAAAGGGATCTGTCTAATTGAAATAGTTTTCTTGCTTCATTTTAATCTTAAAAGAAATCTTCTTTTTCATCACCTATGGCATTGAATAAATTAATTCAATTGGTTCTTCATTTAAGCAAGCATCAGATTGAAATATCTTAAGAAAAGTATTTAAACTTTAGCTTTTTCCATTAAAGTTTTATCATTATTTAAGGAACTTAAGTAAGAGATGAAATTTTGCAATCCATATTACTTATCACTTGATCTTTTGATATCATAAAAGTCTTTATTAAGGGATTTGAGCTTTTTGGAAGCAAATATTTCTGAAACATTCTTTTCAATTATCAATAACATTATCAGAACACATGAGTGTAATTAATAGAAGCTTGTTTATATATTAAAAACTAATATATTTTATGTCATTTAATTACTTTTGATGAGGATTTGTACTATCCAAAATTCAAGATTAAACTGAAATAGACAAAATTCCTTAAAAAATCATAAAAGTAGAAATTCTAAGAGGATTAGGACAGTTTAAAAGGAAGAAAGTAAGCCTTTTAACTATAACAAAATCTTGATAAATCTATCGCTTTAAAGATTGGAAGGACTTTCAGATACTTCACAATTGGTTCTTCTTCTTTTAAAAAGTTCTTGTCATTAGTATCAAAAGTATTACTTAATTTTTTTTGACTACTGAAAGTCAAGTTTTTGGGTAAAAAGGCTTATAAACAATAAAGAAAGGATAAAGATAACTATTAAAGTTAGATTTCAAGTTGTTTTATAGAAAGTGTTAAGACTTTATTCACAAAGAAGTGAAAAAAATTCTTGTAAATATTTTTTTTATGTGTAATCAAAAGATTAGTAAAAAGAGTTTTTTTTTTTTAATATATAATATTATATCAAACTAGCTATATATATTTTATTAAACAATTATGTATACTTATCTGACAAAAATATCTGATCACATAAAGATTATTAATCTAAGATCAAACTTTATTTGTAAATATTGTAACTCTAAATATAATGCATAAAAATACATCAAAATTTTTTTCTTGCATAATTACAAATTTCTT